ATACACCCCCCCCCCCAGGCACGCATACTCAAACGCAGATGAGGAGTGTTGCATTGTGTTTTCATCATAATTTGGTAAAATCTGACACGGGTGAAGAACAAAGGGCTTTTCGCTCCCTCTGAATTCCATCATTCCGCATGGAGGGAAAAATTCATCCCCAGTGAATGCCCCAACAGACTCTGACAGACATCGCACATGACACGTGTCACAAGAAAGGCCGCCGGACCACGGTTTGCCAGATTGCATGGTGACCCATCTGGACCTCAAATCACCACCAGCATGTATTCAGCCATGTTTTACAGCAATGAAAACTGTTCTTAGGTGTATTGTGGGTCAAAATAGGCGATTAAGAAGTACAAAACTTAATTCAATAAAGTTTAAACATAAATAAAAACAAGAATACATTAATCCACCCATCCATTTTCCAATCCGCTTATCCTCACAACGGTCACGGGCATGCTGAAGCCTATCCCAGCTGCCTTCGGCCAGTAGGGTGACACCCTGAACTGGTTGCCAGACAATCGCAGGACACGCAAACAAACAACCATTTACGCTCACAATCACACCCAGGGACAATTTAGAGTGTTCCATCACTCTTATCATGCGTGTTTTTGGAATGTGGGAAGAAACCAGAGTACCCGGAGAAAACCCACTCAGGCACAGGGAGAACATGCAAACTCCACACAGGAAGGCTGGAGCCGGAATCGAACCCTGCACCTCTGCACTGGTAAGCATATCCGCATGGATGTGCTTACCAGTCAATCAACATACCGCCAAGCAAGAACAAGCAAGATGTCCTGTCTCTCTCTCTCTCTCTCTCTCTCACACACACACACACACACACACACACACACACACACACACACACACACACACACACACACACACTTTGCTCATACTTTTCTGTTAGTTTTCTAGGCATATATCTGCTTTTTGGTCGTCCAGCCTCGACCTTGGATCTGACCTGTCGAGGGCGATGCAGCACAGGTGCATAATGGAGGCGGTCGTGAGAAGCACATCCAGCGAGGTGCGCACCAGGCAGAAGGTTTCGCCGTAGATCCACTGCTGATGCACCAGGTCGATGGCGCCGAATGGCATTACCAGCAACGACACCAGCAGGTCAGCGAAGGCCAACGACACGATGAAGTAGTTGGTCTTGATTTTCCTGCGTTGGATGCACACAATTCATATCATCTAAATATCATTCACTCGTGGGCTCAGTGTTAACAATACAGAGCGGGACGGAGGGGTCTTATCACAAATGAGCCCTTCGATGATACAACCCTGACTCATGTAGGCTGAAATGCTGAGTCATGTGCAATACGAGGCTGCTATTAACAAAATGCACGCCCACGTTGAGCTTTTTTGTTTCTTCCTCACACACTGCAGCTTTTTGTGAAGGCAACAGAGTGGAAGATCAATGTTAGATTTTTTTTTTTAATAATAAATAATAAAATAAAAATTCCCTTCACTGTCACAGTCAACAAACCGAGGTTTGAAATATTAAATAAGAATGTCTAGTTAAGTAAAAATAAATACATAAATAAAAAGAAAAACTAAAACAGTGAATAAAGTTTCTCTGATTTCTTTTTATGAAACAGATCATGGTATTATCATCCTATGTCGTATTTTACTTCTCCACCCATCCAACCATTTTCTGATCCGCTTATCCTCACAAGGGTCGCGGGCGTGCTGGAGCCTATCCCAGCTGTCTTTGGGTGGTCGGTAGGTGACACCCTGAACTGGTTGACAGCCAATCGAAGGGCACACACATAGACGAACAACCATCTGTGCTCACACTCACACCTAGGGACAATTCAGAGAGTGCTGCTTATTGTGAAATTAGTTGAGCGAGATTCACTACAACCATTCAGTGCTCTGTCTAAAGTCTGCTCTCGCAAATGAAAGCATAAAAAAGAAAAAACTGGCTGAATGATGGCCCGTGTCTCTAAAAACTCTGAAGTCAAGTCACTCATATTATCAAGGCACCACTGTATTTTTTTAATCACAGAAACAAACTAAATAAGAAGCAAAATGCACATATAAGAAAGGTTTTCATGAAATGTTTTCATGAAATTCTCTCTCATTTACTTCTTGACACTTTGCGACAGTATCTCTTGTTTCACACAGCTGCACTATGTGGGTGTGCGTGTGTGTGTGTGTGTGTGTGTGTGTGTGTGTGTGTGTGTGTGTGTGTGCGTGTGTGTGTGTGTGTCCCGGTGGACCAAGAGGCAATGAGGCAAGAAGACACAAAGATGGTGTGTCATTGTCCTCCCCTTGGGGAGCCCAGACGCCGAAGCACATTTTCCCTGTTCGTACACACCACACTCATACACACGCACACATACTACTTTCATCCTTGCACGTGACACACCAGTCAGCATGTGCACCTTTTGTACTTTGTACTAAATTCATGGTGTTATCCCCAAACCAAGATTGCACACACTCAAACACACACACACACACACACACACACACACACACACACACACACACACACACACACACACACA